AAAAAAAAAAAAAAAAAAAAAAAAAAAAAAAATTGAAAAAAGAAAAAAGACAGCAGTATAAATTTAAAAAAAAGCCCATGCAATGCCACCCCATACCTCTGCCCAAATTCTCTATTCCTATCTGCTGGGACCGCTTCACTAGACTGGCGCTGAACTCATTAACATCTGGATTTCCGACTCTCCTGCCTTTTATCTGTTGAGCAATCTCCACAACCCCTGTCTGAGACTAAACAACTATTCATATTCCACCTACCTAGGGCATAACCACTCTAGAAAATCAGAGGGAACCAGGTTCTTGTGTATCTGGATGAAACTAGGAAAGTGTATCTGTTCTGCCCACAGTTATCCAACTTGCAAAGAGCTAAGTGGACTCACTGTTTTGTATCCTGTTCCGGGCTTCCGTTCACCACACCATAAAGGCAGCCAGGGATTTGAAAGCGCTGCCCTGGGAGTCTAGCCCTCACACACCTCTGTCTTTAGTGTGTCTGACACATGGTAGGTGCCCGGGAAACGTACTGTGAACTGGAGAGAGTTGTGTTGAGTGGGAGAATTTAAAATTTGAAGATTTTTTTCTACCTAATTCTTGGGGGGAGGTTAAAAGAACATCAGGTTATTGTCAATATGATTATTATATTTTTTATCGTTTCAAAATAAATCTTTAGAAATTCTACCGGCAGGAGCCAGGGTGCTATCTCAGGCTACACAAGCTGGAGGCAAAGGATGCACACTGTCTCAAAAGAGGAGGAGCAGATGCCCCAGGGCAGGATGTGGGACAACCTTTCAGATCTCCGCGGGTGTTGCTGGCCCCCAGGGGTTCTCCGGTCCTGAGCCCCTGCGCCCTCTCCTTGGGAGCGCTGGAGCATGCCCAGTGGCAGCGCCGGGGCCACCGAGGGCTCTGCACGGGCGCGCTCCGCCTCTCCGGGTTTTAGCAGGAACCCACGGGGGACGGAGGGGCTGAGGAGCCCGCAGAGCCGGGCCGCCCGGGCTGCGCCAGCCGGAGCCGGGCAGGCGGCTGCGTCCGCGCTGCGGTGCAGGGGATGCGGGCGC